TCCCGTACACGACAAAGAAATGTTGGCGATCGTGCAGGCGTTCAAAATCTGGCGATGCTACCTGACGGGAGCCGACGTGACTGTACGAACATTTCACAAATCCCTACATTACCTGCGAGCGCAACCGAATCTCAACACGCGGCAAATTCGCTAGTTGGATTATTTGGTGTCGAACTTCACGTATCGAATTACGTACAAGAAGGGTGCCAACAACATTGCGGATGCCCTCTCCAGACCATCTGCCCAAACCGCCGAGGTACTAATCGCTCAGACAAACCCGTTGTTGAGTGGACTATTTACCCACTGATATTCGACCGATCCCTTTTTCGTAAACAACTGCCACTAGCAGGTCACGACCGCTCAGGAAGCCTATCACGTAAAAGCGGGAACGGAACGAATATGGGTTTCAAGTTATCGACTACTTCGCGAACTACTAATTCAAGAAGCTCACGATTCAAACTTATAAGGACATTTCGGGGTTGACACTTTAGCAGTGTTATTACTAGCCTGACATGATTTCGGATGTGCAAAATAACGTGGGCTCGTGTTCGACCTGCCAGACGATGAAATCATTACGCCATCGGTCAGCAGGACTGTTACAGCCCCTCGAGCCACCCCAGCAACCTTGGCAACACATGACAATGGATTTTGTCACTGGCCTGCCGACCGGACCAAGTGGAAACGATGTGGTCCTTGTCGTCGTCGACCGCCTCACGAAAATGGCTCACTTCGCACCATGTCGCACGATGATCACAGCCGAAGAAACCGCGCGTCTGTTCATCTCGGCCGTCTTTTGCCAGCATGGTATCCCTGTGGCGATCATCAGCGACAGAGATCCGAAATTCACCTCGCGTTTTTGGCAAGACACGTGGAACAGATGCAGCACCCGCCTACAGTTCTCATCCGCCCATCATCCGCAAACCGACGGTCAGACAGAACGGACGAATCAGACCATGGAGCAGCTGATTCGCACGAAGTGCCCGGACATCAGCAAATGGGAAGATTCGCTACCCATGGTCGAGTTTTCCTACAACAATGCACCCTCCACCAGAGCTTATGATTCACCCCTTTTCCTGAATTACGGGATAGATCCGACAGTACCCATCTCCACCAAAGTCGAAAGCCAAGTCCCCCGCTCGCAGCAGTTCGTCGAAGGCCTTCAAACGACCCACACAAAAGCCATCGAATTTATCAGAAAAGCCAATGTCACTGCCCCCCAATACGCTGACCGCCACAGACCTTCACTGTAGGGAAACTATACCTTCCACCTTCGTACTATATCGCGAACGGTTCAGGATTCGGGCTCTGAGGGCGTGTACATGCGTTCATATTCAGATGTCCAGGCCATCCAGTTACCCGATTGTAAGGATCCTGATTGTGTTTTTTGGGGATAAACACTACCGGGTTCGCCTGACGGGGATAAGCAGCGAATGCGCAACAGTACGTGTGAAAAAAAATGAAAAAAAAAAAAAAAAAAAAAAAAAACCAAGAGGCGACGAGATCGTCTTAGGGTTGCGGAGCATTTCATGATGAGACTTTATTATACATAAAATGTTTTATTTCCATCGCAACAAACATTTGATTTTTATTTCACAAACTTGAAAAAAAAACCAGCCCGACCGATTGCAATAGGTTTCTCCGCAACCAAAAAAAAAAAAAAAACAAAAAAAACAAGAGGCGACAAGATCGTCTTAGGGTTGCAGAGCATTTCATGATGAGACTTTATTATACATAAAATGTTTTATTTCCATATCACAACAAACATTTGATTTTTATTTCACAAACTGAAAAAAAAAAAAAAAAAACCAGCCCGATCGATTGCAATAGGTTGCTCCGCAACCCAAAAAAACGTGAAAGATCTCAGCTGACGCTGCTTTTTTCCTCGTAAATCAAGTCGTTCGCTTTTGTTACCATTCGTACAAAGGAACATTTATCGTGTGGCAAAAAATGCGACTACAGGTCATATGCCCTTAGAGCCCGGGGGGCGACGCGAGAGATTTCGCTTACAACGAATATGGGTCGTACGGTAGGGGCAACGTGGACTATCGGGTTTTCCCAGGAAATGGGGAGTTGTTTTTTGTGTACTGTACATGGGCGGCTTCTCTGGCATATGCAGCGATTGAGTAAACGTCGCAGCGTCGCAAGCCTTTGCGCGAGTGTATCAACTATGCGTTACAACAGAATGTTCAAACTCAAGCGTCATGTCACAATCATGCTGTGTTATTTTGCAACAAACAGATTTGCCTCGACAAAGACAAGACTCGACAAAAGTCCATCCCGCAAAATAAGACTCAGGGTGAAAACCATACTTACGAAGACGAAAACTACACACTTCACTGCAACACAGCACACGCGTCTCGCGCCAAACGTCATACGGAGAGCTCATTGTCTCTCGGTCCTCGACTCGCACGCCCCAAACCCGAAGTCTAAATTTAACCGCCTATTAATGCACAGAAATTAAGCGCCTACTATCCGCGATAGGTAGCGTCAGGGTATCCGGTCATGACGGCTGTGGCTCCACGGACATGACTGAGGTACCCTTCCTCCGCCGCGCCGGGCGCAGCGTTCGTGTCCAGGCGGGGGGATGCGCGCTCCAGGCGATCAATAACCGAAGGTTCGCGGATGTCAAACAACACGCGTAGATCGCGGGGCGCCAATCCAATTGACTTTGCGTAGCCAATCAGCATCTCTGTCGCCATGCGCGACAGATTGCGACGGTTCCGCTCTGAGTCTTGTGCAGCCGGAGAGGGAGGCGCATTCGCCCACCAAGCGTCCCGCTTGGCCATGCCAAGCGGCTCGACCTGAAGCGGATCCACCCCGGTCGGCTCGCTCGTTACGTCGTTACGCTCGGCGGTGACGAAGCGAGCGGCTGAAAGCATGTCGCTCGGCCCGAACGGCAGGGCGCTCATGAGCTGCTGCACCGGCTCGATGTCGTCCTCTAGCCGGGGCTCCTGCTCTTCAGATGTGGCACCGAGGAGAGGTAGCAGCGGCTGCCAGCTGGCTGGCAGCATTCGCGTCCTCCAGAAACACTTCTGGATGGTCGCGGTTTCCAGCCCAAGGCACGCTTCCGACACCCAGGTAACCACCTGCCACATTTCCGGCTTCCACTTCTGAACGGCGGCGACGGTCACGCCAGGTATCTGCCACTGTGCGAGAACAGCTCGAAGCAACTCGACTTTGTAACGTGCCTTCAGAGCTGCGATGAGGCCCTGATCCAGAGGCTGCGTGAACGGTGTCGTGTTCGGCGGCAAGTAAACGAGGCGCACGTGCGATAGCGCCCGTGTCCGGAAGCCGCATATGTCAGCTGACGTGGCGAGTGGGGTCTGGAGCAGGTGACTCGAAGCGTTATCTAGCATGACGACGATGCGTCTTCCTTCCGCCAGGCAGCACGCGTTGATATGTTCGAAAAAAGCCGTAAAGACCTGCGAGGGGCATATGGGATGAAATTCATGAAAGTTATATACTTTTACGTTCGCTCCACTCATCTCGCATCGGACAGAACACGGCACATTACAAGGTAGACATTCAGGACGACGCACACACCTCTGCAGTCATCCATCCCGAGGTGTTCGCGCGCCAGTAGCAGTACTTCGAAGGGTCAAACTTTTGCTTTGCGAAACAACGGGGCCGTTCAAATTTGTGAATGATGAGCGGCTTGAACAGTTTCGAGCCGTCCGCGTTTACCAGCAGCGCGACTGTAAGTCGATCCTTGCAAACCTTCTTCCCCGGGGTAGGATCGATGCAGAAAGTGTGGTCGGGTAGGAGACTGTAGTAGACGCAGGTCTCGTCGAAGTTAAAGAGGTTCTCTGGGGTGAGGCCAAGCTGGCCGCACAGCCTCGGAAAATGCAGTTGCGCGGTCAGCGCGGCGCCCTCGTCGGCAGACCTCGCCTCGCCGCTCATCTTACGCCACTTGAATCCCATTCGGCGCAATGCTTTCTGAACCCATCCAACAGAAGCTTTGAAGTCGCTAGGGACGTTGCACTCGGGTGCTAGCAGAATAGCGCGCTGCTGGATTAGAGCGGTCGACACTGGCAAGCCAGCACCGTTTGTGCTTTTCAGCCAGCTCTTAAGTCGACCTTCGAGTAAAGGCCAGTGTGGGCTTCGCAATCTTTTGAACTTGGCGCGTTCGGGCCCGATGGCCCGCCACTTCACTTCTTTTTGGAGAACTCGGCCGACTGTGCTGCGATCGGGCCACAGGCCGTATCTGGTGTGGCACCATCGCCCAATGTCTTCGAGACGTAAAGTCGGGTTCTTCTTCGCGTACTGGCAGATGGCAAGCTTCTGCCCGACGGACAGCGCAGTTCGGCGTACAGGTGCCATGCGGACGACGTCGTGGGTCTGACGGGCTCGTTCTTTGTGTCGTGAAGAGGTCGAAGATTGGGCCATACAAATAACACCGTCGTGTCTGCATTGTTGGCGGGGGGAACGATGTTGTGACCCCTCTGTTGCTTACTTGGCGATTTCCTGTTGGCAGACGGATGACGGAATTGCCCAGGGCTACGCAGACGGATTCTGTTCGCGTTGCTGGCGTTGTTCTAGTGGACCGTCACCGAGGTGGTCGTATCAATAGCATCATTTGGATTTTGGTCTCGACATTGGTTGGCGAGCCTGACACGTCTGGATGTTTAAAGGCTCGCCAACCAGTAGGAGAGGTCGCCCTGGAACCACAGAAACAAACTGATTGGACTGCCAAATATCAGCCGAATTGACTATCGAACTCACTGTTCAGTTGAGACGGGTACACTTTGCTTACAAGGAGAGGCCCTTAAGGATAAAATGCCTATGAGATACTCCCGGGCGTAAAAGGAAGTCGCCTACAAGGCATATGACCTGTACTTGAGGATGGCCAAGTCTCTTATTGGACACGCTACGGGTTTTGTTCGATTTTCGGTAGTCATCTGAACAGTACCGCTGGATGTCAAGCCCGTGTCATTTCCCCGAAATGAACGCTTATGACACGCCCTGATAGTCCCAATCATTGGTGTTTTCAAGGTCCCCCGATCCAGCACACGTCGGAAGACTCTAGAAATTGGATTTCGGGCATGTCTTCTCTCGCTGTTGACTGCCCTTTTTGACTGCTAACACGCGCCACGCGTGCGCCCTAACGCGATTGCTAACTCGATTGATGAGGTTATTGAAGAGTCCGTTAGTATCGCTTCATTCCCTTGCTCCTGGCGTTGGTTAGGCTCGTCGTATCAGCCTTTCAACCAAGTCTTGTCCAGCTTGTCGCTTAAATTCGCCGCGATTCTAGGACCAGCTTAGCGACCTCACCGACAATCAGTACTTCATAATCTGTCATTTCTTAAGACCGGATAAACCGCGACTTTCAGCATCACTTCACCGAGTTAATCAGCCGCATTAGAATCGGCATCGCGGCTGAGCACCAGCGTAGCAGGACGCCATGATTCCCCCGGCGGCGATGGATCCGGAGATGGTTCGCCTGGCGCAGGAGCAGATGAGCCGCATGTCGCCTCAAGACATCCAGCGCATGCAGCAGGTGAAATGCTGTTTTTCCTATCATCCCCGTTGTTAGATACTCGTGTAAGTTGAAAAGGAGATGGTTCGCCTGGCGCAGGAGCAGATGAGCCGCATGTCACCTCAAGACATCCAGCGCATGCAGCAGGTGCGAGGATTTATCCTCGTTATAAGGTCCTGAACGATATTAGTTGACGAGCGGATGAGCCGCATGTCGCCTCAAGACATCCAGCGCATGCAGCAGGTGAGAGGCTGTATCCTCGTTATGAAGTCCTGAACGATGTTAGCTGACGAGCGGATGGGCCGGATGTCGCCTCAAGACCGCATGTCGCCTTGAGACATCCAGCGCATGCAGCAGGTGATAGGCTGTTTTTTCAATCATCCCCGTTAATAGATGCCCGTAGAAGGTTACAAAGAGAGGCAGAATTGTGGCCAGGAGCAGATGAGCCGCGTGTCGACTCAGGACATTCAGCGCATGCAGCAGGTGGAGGGATCTCTTTGTTCTAATCCTAGAGAATGAATTTGTGATCTCAGACGAGAGATGTCTTTGTGATCAGGTGAGTTTGCATGAATTGGGATGAGCAAGGGGCGATCCCGCATTGCCATACGATGGATTGTGCACTTCTGGAGAATCTCTGCACAATTTGTGGGCCCTCCTTTCCCTCATTCAATCCGATGATGACACGTGGCTCTGATGGAAGGTGTGCTTTGCTCCCGCCCCCATCAGATGATGACGCCTGACATGATTCGCATGGCGACGGAGCAGATGGGTAGCATGTCGCCAGACGACATGAGGCGAGCAGCCGAGCAAATGAAACACCTCATTCCCTCCTAAACTCAACCGTACCTCCCTTTTCCTCCTCTCTGCACGCACGCTCGCTGCTTACTTGCGATCATTCGTCCCATCAGATGATGGCGCCTGACATGATTCGCATGGCGACGGTGCAGATGGCACGAGCGGCCAAGTTTTTAAGACATCTCAAGAGCCGATGACCCACTTCACCGCAACTCGACACCCCCCCCTCCCAACCCCCCGTCCCCTCTCCCCGCCCCACCCACCCCATCAGATGATGACGCCTGACATGATTCGCATGGCGACGGAGCAGATGCCAGGACTCGAGCAGCCGAACTTTCATTTCAAACCCAACCCGTTCCTTTCCTCTCGCTTGTTCTCACCCACCCCATCAGATGATGACGCCTGACATGATTCGCATGGCGACAGAGCAGATGGCACAAGCGGCCAAGTTTTAGAGACGTGTCAAGAGCAGATGAACCACTTCACCGCAACTCTACCCCCCCCCCCTCCCCTCTCCCCGCGTCACCCGCCCCATCAGATGATGACGCCTGACATGATTCGCATGGCGACGGAGCAGATGGGTCGCATGTCGCCAGACGACATGAGGCGAGCAGCCGAGCAGATGAAACACCTCTCCCCCTCGCAGATCGCCAGCGCCATGTCTGGGGCTGGCGCTGGGGCAGGAGGGGTTGGGAGCGGTGCTGGGGGGTTCCCAGGAGCAGGAGCAGGAGGAGGAGCAGCAGCAGGGGGGTTGCCAGACGTGGCTGCATATATGAGCCAGAGGCAGCAGTACGAGCTGAACGCAGCGACGATGCTCAAGAACGAGGTTGGTGCTGTCTCGTCCTTTAAAATACCCTCCTCTCTGCTCCACTCTGCGACTTTTGAGTGACTTTTGAGTCGACTCAAAACTCTGCTCCACTCTGCTCTACAAGCTGAATGCTGCAACCGTGCTGAAGAACGAGGTTGGTTTTGTTTTTAGTGGTTCTCTTCTCGGTGTCTTGTGCTTCTTCTTCTCCTTCTTCTCCTTCTTCTCATTCTTCTCCTCTTCTTCTCCTCTTCTTCTCCTCTTCTTCTCCTCTTCTTCTCCTCTTCTTCTCCTTCTTCTCATTCTTCCTCGTCTGACGTCCTTGTGCTCAATTTCCTCTCTGTCCCTCTCTCGAATTCCTTCCGCCTGATTCCGCCCCTTCTCCATCCGCCACATGTGTTGTGCGTGCAGGGAAACAAACTGCATGGGCTAGGGAAGTACTCAGAAGCAGCAGAGAAGTACAACAGGGTATGTGTGGCACCGGGGGGTGGGGAGGGGACTGGGGGAAGGTGGGAATGGTGTGGACGAAGGGGAGGGGAAGGGACGGTGAAGGAATGGGAGGGAAGAGGGAAGCGAAAGGAGGAAGGATGGAAGGGGGAGGGAGGGGGGCGGGTGTGCGGTGAAAGGGAGTTAGAGGGATGACAGTCCGGTTCAAAGCGGACTAGTGAGAAATATGCTGCTGTGTGGTCCTTATCCATGTTGCCCTGGTCTCTGCCTTTCTCCACACTATCACCACTTTGTTATGGCCCCTTTACTATCACCACTTTACTATCAACTCGACCTACAAGCACGTGGCAAATCTCGCCGTGGACCCCTTCTCAACAGCAGTCTCTCTGAGACAATCACCTCACCGCGCACGCCTATTTCCAACACACGGCTTCGTTTTGAGTCGACTCAGAACGAAACACTAGTCTTCTTTTTTACAAGCAGTCCACCTGAGTCAATCACCTCACCGCTCGCGCCTATTTCCAACTCTCGTCATCTTTTTGAGTCGGCTCAAAACGAAACACTCGTCTTCTTTTTTACAAGCAGTCCAACTGAGTCAATCGCCTCACCGCACGTGCCTATTTCCAACACTCGTCTTCTTTTTGAGTCCTCTCAAAACGAAACACTCGTCTTCTTTTTTACAAGCAGTCCATCCATCTGAGTCAATCACCTCACCACACGCGCCTATTTCCGACACATGTCTTCTCCTCCGTCTTTACTGTTCCCGTCCCTCCCCCTTATTGTCACACCTCCGTACAGGCGGGTGACAATCTCGCCATGCACTCGTCCCCAGCAGCAGTGTCTCTGCGCCGCACGTGTGCCGTAAACCTCATGTCATGCCACCTCAAGACCAGCTCTCTTACTCCCAATTTCCCCCCCTCTCACTTCCGCCCTCACTGTCAACCATTTCCAGTCAACCCCTTACTATCACCCCCTTACTGTCTCTCCCCTCTCCCCCCCCCCCCCCCTGCCCCTATAGGCCCGGGACAACCTCGCCATGCACTCGTCCCCAGCAGCAGTGTCTCTGCGCCGCACGTGTGCCGTCAACCTCATGTCATGCCACCTCAAGACGCAGTCCTTCTCCCATGCCGTCTCTGTTGGCTCTCAGGTGAATGCTTAGTGGCTCCCAGGTGGGCCTCTGTTGGTTCTCAGGTGGGTCTCTGTTGGTTCTCAGGTGGGTCTATGTTGGCTCTATAGTGGTGCTCTGTTTGTTCCCATGTGTTCTTAAGTGGCTTCGTTTTACCCCATTCTATCTCTCGTTTTGAGGCGCCTCAAGAATAGACTCCTCACGCATGGCTTCGTTTCACCCCATTCCATCTCTCTTCTCTTCTCTGCTTCGCCTTGCTTACCATGCTGTATGTGGGGTTTTTTTACACATGACTATTTACCCAGGTGATTTCAGAGGATGCGTCTAACCTCAAGGCGCTTTACAGACGGGGATTGGCCTACAAGGAGCTCGGGCAGCTTAAAGTAAGTGCGGGGACAGGGTGCGGAAGGATCAAAGAAGTTGTGTGTTTATTGCGCTACAACAGCCATTGACCGCCTTAGCATGGCCCAAGTAACTCCACCAGTTTGTTAACTGGTTTCCTACCGATTGTCAACTGGTTTCCTACCGACTGTCAACTGGTTTCCTACTGATTGTCAACTGGTTTCCTACCGATTGTCAACTGGTTTCCTACCGATTGTCAACTGGTTTCTTACCGATTGTCAACTGGTTTCCTACCGATTGTCAACTGGTTTCCTACGGTTGTTAACTGGTTTCCTACCGTTTGTTAACTGGTTTCTTAACGCGTTTCTGTCCACAAAAAACCCTCCCTGATATGCAGGAGGCAGTGGCAGACCTGTCAAAGGCAGCACAGATCTCACCTGGCGACGAAACGCTAGCAGGCGTGCTTAGGTGGGTCACGACTCATGAGCACTGTGAAATAGGTAATTTGGACACTACACGAATGCCTTTAGAGTTAACTCATAAGCCAACGCTGGCAGGCGTGCTCAGGTGGGTCATCCGCAGTGTTAAATAGGCATTTTGGACATGAGTGCGCTAATGCAACTGGGGGCTTTCCTATTCGACTCAAGAGGTTTCATTGTTTGATGGTAAGACTTGTACAAGACAAATTCCATCCTTCAAGCTGGTTCCTCTCTTCCTCCTCCTTCTCCTTGTCTATGTACACATTGAGAGATTCGTTCAGAGAAGGAGGAAGAGAGAAACCAGCGTTCAGAGAAGGCACTTGAAGGGATTCGTTCTTTACAGGCTTGTACAAAACCGAATCCCATCGAGCTGGTTTGCAATTCCCTCCCTCATTCCTCTCTCCCTCCTTCCTCTTGCCTATGTGCGTCCAGAGAAACCCAGGCGGCACTTGAAGCGACGAAGAAGACAGGTACGCGTACGCATCAGCAAGGCAGCATGAGGCAGCGCAGCGGACCTGTTACGGCTGCAGTCAAGACTTGAATTCTTATAGTCTTTACGGTTTGCTGCAGTGCAGCGCGGCTCCTTCTTGCGCGCCCTTCCTCTATTCCCTCATCCACCATATCTTTTCTTACTCTTCTCCTGCTTCTTCTAGCTCATCATTCACCCTAACACACCACCCTCCTCCGTGGCATTGCTTGGCTGCATGAGATGACTGTTGAGTCGACTAAAAAGTCTCTCTCCTTCTTCCTCTATCTCACTCTTCGCCCTTTCTTGCCACCCTCCTCCGTGGCATCGCTTGGTTGCACCATGCCCCCTCGGGGCCGCATTGCAGGTTCCTCGTAAATCTCTTCCTCCCTGTCCCGTGTTGTTGCATGCCCCTCTTCTCCTATGTCTGCCCTACAAGACCTTTTATTGGTACCAAGGCCCTTTCCCCTCTTACTCTCCCCCCCTCCCCCCCCCCCCCCCCCCCCCCCCCCTTTTTTTTTCTCCCTCTTGTCCGCTCTTGCACCCTTTATGCAGCAGTTTCCTTGGAGGACATAGATGAGGGCGATGACGTTCCTGCTGCATCCTCTGCTGAGTCTTCCGCTGTGGGAACGACTGATTCAGTAACAGTAGCAACAGCACCATCAGCTACAGCAGCACCAGCAGCATCAACAGCAGCAGCAGTGGGCAGTAATCCTCTGTTCATTCCTCCCTCTGTGCCGACCATGTCGCCTGATATATCTGCCATGGACCCTGCCCTTGTGCGGTAAGCCATGATGGGATGGTATGGCATGGGATTACACGCCGTAACATGAGATGACATGGCATGACATGACATGACATGAGATGACCTGGCATGACATGACATGACATGAGATGACATGACATGACATGACATGACATGAGATGACATGACATGACACGTCATTATGTGTAAATCTTTGTTCACAGCCCCGCTCTGCTCTCCCGCCAACCCTCTCTCCCCACCCGTAAGTCATGGCATGTGGCACTTCATTCACGTTCCGTGTTTCTGCCCATGCGTTATGCAGGGCCGATTGTGAGTGGGCGGAAACCACATCGCACGTCACCATGGCTTTCCCCAAACCTCCTCCCCTCCCCCCCCCCCCAATGCAGGGCGATTGCGAGCATGGATCCAGCAGCAGTGGCACCACTTCCCCTCCCCCGATTTCCCCTGTCCTCCACACCCCCCAGCAACTGCAGGTGATGATGACGACCATGGATCCAGCAGCCGTGGCAGCGCTGAGATTGCACCAACACACACAATAACACTCGTATGACACCATTACTCCCCTTCCCCCTCCCTCTTTCCCCCCACCCCCCCTCTCCCCCCCAGCAACGTGCAGGCGATGTTGACAGCCATGGATCCAGCAGCAGTGGCAGCACCTTATCCCCTTGACACCCCTCTCCCCTCCCTTCCTTCCCCTCCTTTTCCCCCTTCCCCTTCCCCTTTCCGTCCTCCCTCCCAGCAACATGCAGGTGACGATGAGAAGCAGGAATCCAGTAGCGGTGGCAGCGCTGAGTGGTGGCGCCTTATCCCCTTGACACCCCCGCCTCCCCTCGCTTCCTCCCGTCCCCTTCGCCCCTTCCCCTTCCCTCCCACCATTACCACCCCCCTTCCCCCCTCCAGCAACTGCAGGCGATGATGACGAGACGACCATGGATCCAGCAGCGGTGGCGGCACTCAGCGGCGGCGCCTTGTCCCCCGACATGGCGCGCACTGCAGCCCAGCTCGTGGGATCCATGTCCCCTTACACAGTCCGAGCTCTATTCCCCATCCACCCCCCGTCCCCCCCCCTTCCCCCCTCCAGCAACATGCAGACAATGATGACGACCATGGATCCAGCCGCAGTGGCAGCGCTCAGCGGCGGCGCCTTGTCCCCCGACATGGCGCGCACTGCAGCCCAACTCGTGGGATCCATGTCGCCAGACGACCTGCAGAAGATGATGCGCCTGGCTTCTACTTTCAGCCAAGCAGGAGGAGGTGTAGCAGGGGGGGCAGCGGGGACAGGGGGGGCAGGGGTGGTGGGAGGGGTGGCGGCAGGGGGAGGAGCTGGTGGTACTAGCAGCAGCAGCAGCCGAGGCCGTGGTGGTAGCGCTGGCAGTGGAAGGAGTGGTGGCAGCAGCACCGTTACCGATTCTGTTTTGACCCCCACAACCACCAGCGCCAGCAGCAGAAGCACAGCAGGGGCTGCTGCTGGTGCTTCTGGTGGTGGTGCTGCTGCTGCTGCAGATACCACATATGGCATGCCTCCAGGGTTTGGGAGAACAATGGAAGCAGCAGCAGGATCAGCAAGGAACGGAGGAGGGGAGGTGGCAGCAGGGGAGAGGGGAGGAGCAGCAGGGGGGATGGGAGCAGCACCTGGGATGCCAGTGCCAGGTGTCGGCGGGGGATTGGACCCCATGCAGCTCCAGGAGCGGCTGTTGAACGACCCTTCCACAGTGAAGGTAAGCTTTGCTGCATTCGTAGTCGTTGCTGCCCCTTCTGGACCACTCTCTCCCTCCTCTGCCCCCCCCTCGTTTCCCTTCCCTTTTCTTTCCCACTCTCCCTCCTCCCCACCCCCCCCCCCACCCCCGGTAGCTGATGAGTGACACGATGCGGCAGCTGAGTGTGGAGGACATCGCAGACATGAGCTCGTGCATGGGAAGCCTTGATGCATGCATGCCTGCATTCTCCACACCACCCATTCCCCTCTCCTACCCCAGCTCATGAGCGGCATGATGCAGCAGTTGAGTGCAGAGGACATCGCAGCCATGAGCTCACGCATGGGGCAGATTGAAGTGTGCCACTGCCTCCCCCCCCCCCCTCCAGCTCATGAGCGACATGATGCAGCAGCTGAGCGCGGAGGACATCGCAGCCATGAGCTCGCGCATGGGGCAGAGCATGTCAGTGGAGCAGGCAGAGCAGGCCAAGCGCATGATGCAAGGACTGGGGCCTGAAAGACTGGCCACTGTGGTAAGATAGAAGGTTGGGGGAGGTGGGGAATAGGGTGGTTCCGCTTTCAGATAGGGAGTGCATGGGGCAGAGCATGTCAGTGGAGCAGGCAGAGCAGGCTAAACGCATGATGCAGGGGCTGGGGCCTGAATGGCTGGCCACTATGGTAAGAAAGGGAAGGATTTGGAGGGTAGGATTTGGGGGAAGGTGGGGGACGCTGGAGGGAGGGGGGTGCATCTGCAATTGTCCCCTTAACCCCACTTCCCCACCCCCCTCTCCCCTTTCACTCCCCCCTTCCATTGCAGATGAAGTATGCTCAAAAGGCACAAACAGCAGCAGCCAAGGTCCAGGAAATGGTGCGATGGCTGCTGCAACGGCCAGTGCTCCTGGCCTCCATCATAACCCTCGTTATAGCCATCATCATCCACTATATGGGGTGGTTCTCATGAGTCAGCTTCAAGGCAGGCTCTGCACAAACATTGCAGTAGATGCTCTACTTTGACAAGGATGTAGATTTTATTATGAGGTTCCATATATATGATGTTTTCCAATGCCTGCTTTGGAGATCCACGAATGAAGCGAACATCCCTCGTAGCGGGTACATTTCGTAAGAAGTCCTGCCTGGGAATCCCCTTTCCATCCCATCCCATCCCATCTTATCGCATCTCATCCCATCCCATCCCATCTTATCGCATCCCATCCCATCCCATCCCACGTGACTTCTGAGTCGACTCAAAAGTCATTCTGTCTCTCATCCCATCCCATCCCGTCATTCCCCGCCGCGTGCCGAAATCAGCCATTTTCTGCAAGCACAATCCTGACAGGTCCAGCATCGCCGTTGATCCTCTCATCGCCTTCGAACCTCGTATCGCCGTCGATCCTCGCCTCGCCGTCGATCCTCCATGGCTACCAGTAAAGCACTGCGAAACGCGGCAAGATCGCGGTGGCCATGGCCGCGGATCGCAGGGGCTGCGATTCTCGCCGGTGCGACGCTCGGAGTTACTTACAGCGTCGCCGACGACGTTCTGCTCTTCTACCGATGCAGCAGGTAGGGCTTAGGACACGCCGATGCAGTGGGTATGGCTTAGGACACGCCGATGCAGTGGCTATGGCTTCGGACACGCCGATGCAGTGGGTATGGCTTAGAGGCGTCCCCCCCCTCTCCTCGACCATTAGATATAGAGTGAAGGTGCCCAAACAATCGATGCAGCAGGTACGGCTTAGATGCGTCCCCACCTCTCGTTATCCAGCAGGTACGGCTCAGATGCGTCCCTGCTCTCCTTATCCATTGGCACCACCACCCCTTTTTCTTGTTTCTCTCTCTCTCCCTTGGTGTCAGGACAGTGAGGCACTGGAGGTGGCGAATCAGAACGAGCAGTTAAAGGCGGCGATTGGATCGCCAGTAAGGAGGGGGCCCTGGTACAACGCTACTATCGGTATCACTCATGGCGGCCGAGCAGCTTCCGCGACGTTTCCTGTGGAGGGACCCAAGGGCTCTGCTCTATTTCACCTTCGAGCGATAAGGACGCATGGTGAGTTGGATGCGTTTTTATCCTCTTCTTTGAATGGTATGATTAGTGAGACGCCTGTTCCATCTTCACGCGATAAGGTCGCACCGTGAGTCAAATGCGTTTTCGTTGTCTTCCTCGTCTTCTTTTGGAATGGAGTGACCCTTGAGACGCCTGAACGACGTTCCAGCTTGGCGTGATAAGGACGCATAATCCTTCAGGTGAGTTGATTTGAATTAATGGCATGGAATGGATTTTGAGACGCCTCAGGAAGGTGTTCCACCTGTGCGCCATAAGCACTCCATGAGTAGTTCAAGTGTTGCTAGCTACGAATCAATCTTATAGGGATCATTCGGCTGTTTAGCTAAGAGTTGTTTCAGACACTCGTTATGCACTATTACGTCCTGTTCTCACCCCATCTCGCCTCTCCTCCGATCTAGGTGGCAGGAGCGCCCTTGATTTTGCAGGGTGTTTTTGAGAATTCTCAATCTCACCCCATCTCGCCTCTCCTCCGATCTAGGTGGTAGGAGCGCCCTTGATTTTGCAGGGTGTTTTTGAGAATTCTCAATCTCACCCCATCTCGCCTCTCCTCCGATCTAGGTGGCAGGAGCGCCCTTGATTTTGCAGGGTGTTTTTGAGAATTCTCAATCTCACCCCATCTCGCCTCTCCTCCAATCTAGGTGGTAGGAGCGCCCTTGATTTTGCAGGGTGTTTTTGAGAATTCTCAATCTCACCCCATCTCGCCTCTCCTCCGATCTAGGTGGCAGGAGCACCCTCCTCTACAACCTTCAGTTCAGTCAGACCCCAAGTGGCAGCTGTTGGTGCCGCAAGCCACTGTCCCATCCGATTTAATGCCACTCCACCCCACCCCACCTCACCTCATCTCATCTCATCCCCCCCCTAACAGGGGGCAGGAGCACCCTGCTCTCCAACCTTCAATCGGATCCCAAGTGGCAGCTGTTGGTGCTGCAAGCCACTGTCCCATCCGATTTTAATGCCACCCCACCCCAACCCACCTCATCTCATCGCATCTCATAACCCTCCTTGCAGGCGGCAGGAGCACCCTGCTCTACAACCTTCAGTCGGATCCAAAGTGGCAGCTGTTCGTACTGCAAGCCACTGTTGCTCCTAGAGCAGTGGCATTGCCAGAAGAAGCAGCAAGACCAGCACCAGCAGCACCAGGAGCATCACCAGCAACAGCAGCAGCAGCAGATGCAGCATCAGCACCAGGAACAGCAGCAGCACCAGCAGCAGCACCAGCAGGACCAGCAACACCAGCAGCACCAGCAGCACCAGAAGCACCAACAACAACAACAGCACCAACAGCAGCGCCTCTATCGTTCCGCATTGACCTTCTGTACGGCCCTGGTGGCCCCTCAGTAATTAAGGCTGCTGCAGAGGAGACTCAAGAAGGAGAGTGCTTGCCGTGCCAAGCACGCGCGCCGCAGAAACCAGAAAAGGCAAGCTAGCTAGCTAGCAGCAGTAGCAACAGCAGTAGCAGCAACACTATCGTTCTGCATTGACCTTCTGTACGGCCCTGGTGGCCCCTCAGTAATTAAGGCTGCTGCAGGGGAGACCCAAGAAGGAGAGTGCCTCCTGTGCCAGGCTCTTGTTCCGAGGTCAAACGCTGCGAGCTAGTTCAGGTGGAAATTCGATACTGGTACCGTATGTCAACTCATACATGTTATGCATGTAGAAGTTATAGGCTAGTATCGGTGTGTGCTCCTAGTGAGTACAACCCAACTGCTAAATGTGTCATGTTTTCCCTTCTAGTAAAACATTCGCGTATTCTAACATGGTATGGAGTAGGTTAGGTTCACCCTCCCGCTTCCGCCCGTGCCCTAGTCTCTTGCCCGCCCCTAGCCGGCCCCCTGGCCGTGGCGTCCGCCCCAAGCCGGCCCCCTGGCCGTGGCGTCCGCCCCTAGCCGGCCCCCTGGCCGTCGCGTCCGCCCCTAGCTGGCCCCCTGGCCATCGCGCCCGCCCCTAGCTGGCCCCCCTGGCCGTCGCGTTCGCCCCTAGTCGGCCCCCTGGCCGTCGCGTCCGCCCCTAGTCGGCCCCCTGGCCGTCGCGTCCGCCCCTAGCTGGCCCCCCTGGCCGTCGCGATCGCCCCTAGCCGGCCCCCTGGCCGTCGCGTCCACCCCTAGCTGGCCCCTTGGCCGTCGCGTCCGCCCCTAGCCGCCCCCCTGGCCGTCACGTCCGCCCCCAGCCGGCCCCCTGGCCGTTTGCGCCCGCTCCTAGCCGGCCCCCTGGCCGTTCGCGCCCGCCCCTAGCTGGCCCCACTGGCCGTCGCGCCCGCTCCTAGCTGCCCCCCCCTGGCCCCACGCGCCCGCTCCTGGCCGGCCCACTGACCGTCGAGCCCGCTCCTAGCCGGCCCCAGCAGCGCCCGCCCGGCCCCTCCTCGCGCCCGCCCGGCCCCCAGTCGCGCCTGCCCGGCCGCCCCGCGCGTGCTAGGCCCCTCCTAGCGCCCGCCCAGTCCCAGTGCGACCGCCCGGCCCCTCCTCCTACCCGCCCGGCCCCTCCTCGTGCCTGCTCGGCCTGCCGTGCCACCTCGAGCCCCGTGTCCTCTGCTAGCCCGCGCTGGGGCGCCCCTGCAGCCGCCCTACTGGAGAGTGCTGCCGCCGTGTCCCCGTGCCGCTGTGCTCCTGCCGAGCTGTGGAGCTGTGCTGCTGTGTCGCTGAGGAGCTGTGTCGCTGACCCTGCACGATGGCTGACTTCGTGCTCCGCCTGGACGCCGAGGGCCACGCGGTTGACTTCGCCGCCTGGCTCTCCGATCTCCACCGTCAGCTTATAGGTCAGCGCCAGGATGGACACTCGCTGGTTGTCCATGCTGATGGCTTGCTCCCCCGCCCCCCTGCACCTGCTCCCCTCCCTGCTGACCCCACCTCCGCTGAGAGTGAGGCTTTCTCTACTGCTGCGCTTGCCTGTGCGGTCTGGGACTCACGCGATGCAGTAGCTCAGGTTGCTATCAGTCACGCCCTCCCTATGTCTGAGCGCTCGCGTTTCGCTACGGTTGATACGGCCAAAGCTTATTTAGACGCTGTTATTGCTCGCTATTCCACACCTGCATCCGCTTCTGCCGGCCGCCTGCTCTGCCCGATGCTGTTCCCAGACCTTGCTGCCTTCCCTACTGTCGCAGACTTTGCCACTCACTTGCGTGCCCTAGAGACTCGCTATCGCACTGCCAGCACTGTTGCCCAGCTCACTGCGCTCCCCCTCCCATTCTGCATGACCCTGTATTTTATCGCCGTGCGCCTACCGGACCGCCTAGCTAGTGCCCGCGACCGCTTCCTTAGCCAGCACCCGGGTGACCTCACACTGACCGCCTTTGTCGACACCCTCACCGAGATCGAGACGCGCCAGCGCACTATCGCTCAGTCGAGCGGTGCGCCGGCAGTCTCTATCTTTCACGGCTGTGCCCCCTCCCAGTGCACGTTTACTGACGTTTCGGCTGCGGTCGCCACTGCGACCCCTCTTACCAAGACGGCTGCTGCGGTCCACCCGCAGCAGCGTCCGCGCCGCGGTGGCCGTGGCCGCCAGGGAGGTCGTGGTGGTGGCACTGGTGGTGGTGGTAGTGGTGGTGGTGACGGTAGTCCACCTGAGGGGACTACCACTGGTGGGCAGGAGCAGACGCAGTCGCCTTCGCAGTCGGAGCAGCCCCAGTCGCAGCCGCCGCCGTCCCAGCAGCAGCCGTCGCAGCCGTGGGCTCGTCTCCCACCTGGTTGGTCCGGCACCTCCGGCGGTGGTGGCCGATGTGGTGGCCCGCGCAGCTTGGCGTCTACCGGCAGCTCCAATGCTGTGACCTGCCAGTACCAGCTTCAGACCGGGCCTCTCCGCGGCACTCTGTGCCGCCGCCCGCACCCGACTGCCCGCTGTTTCCACCGCCTCGACGATCTCTTTCGTCGTCGCTTTGGCCCGGCCCCGGACCTCCCCAACTGGCACAGCCTGCTTCGCCAGGGCGTGCCGATCTTTGAGTTAGATATGGATCAGATAGGTGCTGCTTTGCATGCTGACGATTCTAGTGTTGCTGGATCTTATTACCTTGTGTACTCTGATTTAGGTGTCTCACCCTTGTGTAGCTTAGCCTCCCCTGCTGCGTCAGGCGTAAGACTGCCTAGTTTGCCTAGCCTAGGTTCTGCACCGGCTCCGTTCCCAGCCTCCGCCACTGCCTCGCTGTCCTTCACTCTCGACTCCGGTACTTCTGCCTGTTTCTTCCGCGACCGCTCCACACTTACGCCGCTTGCTGCGCCTGCTGTTGTCGCACTCGCTGACCCCTCTGCTGGTCCTGTCGTCGCTCGCAGCTCCACTTCCCTTCCCTGTCCCGCCGTTCCCTCTGGCTCCCTTACAGGCCTCCACGTTCCCTCGTTCTCCAGGAACCTGGTTGGTGTCGGCTGTCTTCAGGACCTCGGCGTCACCACCACGTTCCCTGGGCACGAGCGGTTTGCTGTCTGTACCGAGGCTGCCACAGGTTCCCCCCTTGCAACGTTCCCCCGGGTCCCGGTGTTCGGTCTGTTTACCCTCGACACCACTCCCCCTCCGGTTGGTGCGTCCTCCCAGGTCGCTGCAGCTTACTCGTGTCGGTCTCTCACTCACCCGTCCCTTTTGTGGCACCACCGCCTAGGTCACCCTGCACTCCCGCGTCTGCATCACATGTCCCAGCACAGTCTTGTCTTAGGCCTCCCAGCGTCGCTCCCCGCCCTTCCCCTCTCGCCTGCTCCACCGTGCACGCCCTGCGTCGAGGGCCGGCTCCGCCGTGCCCCTCACTCCTCCTCGCTTCCCCCTGCTACTGCTCCCCTTCAGACCCTGCATCTGGACGTTTGGGGCCCAGCCCCCGTCCCCGGACCGCGTGGCGAGCGCTACTTTCTTGTGCTCGTCGACGACTACACGCCCTACACCATGGTGTTTCCCCTGGAGCGGAAGGCCGACGTGCCCGACGTTCTTCTCCCGTCGGTTGTGGCTGCGCGTCTTCACCGCGGTCTCCCCGTGTTCTATCTCCACTCTGACCGTGGCGGCGAGTTCGCTTCTGGTCGGCTTGGACAGTTCTGTCGTGCGGAGGGCATCACCCAGTCATACACCTTGCCAGACTCGCCACAGCAGAATGGGGTTGTTGAGCGCCTCATCGACTTGGTCATGGAGGTGGCTCGTACCTCCATGATCCATGCCGGTGCACCCCATTTTCTGTGCCCGTTCGCCGTTTGCTACGCCGCTCACCAGCTTAACTTGTGGCCACGCTCCCAGCGGCCGCAGGTTTCGCCGACCCTCCTTTGGACCGGGTCCCCCAGTGACGCGTCTGCGTTCCACGTCTGGGGCTGCCTTGCTCACGTTCGTGCCTCTGGCACGGACAAGCTCACTGCCCGCACTGTCCCCTGTGTCTTCCTTGGTTTCCCCCTGGACTCGTCTGACTGGCTCTTCTACCACTCGCAGTCTCACCGCTTCCTCAACTCTCGTGACATCACCTTTGACGAGTCCGTCTCCTTCTACCGTCGCTTCCCTCACCGAGGTCTCTCGGTTTCCCCCCCCCCTGTTCCTTGCCCCCTCTCCCCCGGTAGCCCCTCCTCCCCTCCTGCCGCGTCCTGCCTCATCTGGGGTCTCCCATGTCACTCCCCTCCAGTCAGTTGTCCCTGTTGAGGAGTCTGCTGACTCTGGTGGTCCCCCCACCCCGCCTTTGCCGCGTCCCCCTTCCCTGGTGTCTCCGCCCCCGCTGTCGCAGTCACCGCCGTCGTCATCGCCGTCGCAGCCGCCGCCGCCGCCGCCGCCGCCGCTGCCGCTCTTGGCCTCTGGGGGTGCTGGCGCTGAGGAGGGTGTTCGTCCTTCTGCTCCTGGCGTGGTCTGTCCAGGCGGGCCTGGGGGTGCCGCTGGGGCTGGAGAGGGTTCTCGCTCTGGGGGTGTTGGTTCTCGGGGTGCTGCTGTTGAGTGTTCTCCCGGAAGTCGTCGTGCCCCTGCCGGTTCGAGGGTCGAGCACCAGCCGCCGCAGCAGCCGCCGCAGTCGTCGCCGCCGGTCTCCGCTCTTTGCCTGCTCGGCCTTCCTTCCCCTGACCGCTCGCCGATGTCTCCCCCACCTCCTCCTCACCTTCTTGTCTACGGCCCTATGTTCCCGCCCCCGGACTCTTCTCCGGCCCGTATTCCTCCTCGTTCCCCCCTTGTGTCCCCTCCGCTGTCTCCTGACCCTACACCTCCGTCCCACGTTTGGTCTCGCCGTCCCTCCCGTGCTCGTCCCGTCTCTCCTGTCCTGCCCACCCACCCTATGTTGCTCCGTTCCCGCTCGTCTCGTCCTCCCCTCCTCCCGTCCCCTCCTCCCTCGTCCCTTGCCGTTGCACCTCCTCCGTTCTCTGACTACCTCCGTGCCGCTCGTCCCCTTGTCCCTCGGGTCCTTGCCTCTCTTGTTACCGACCGTGCTGTTCCTGTCTCGCGCCTTGATGCGCTTGTCGCTGCTATCGCTGACTTCGCCTCTACCCGCCGCCTTGACTACGCTACCGCTCTGGTCTCTGACCCTGCCCGTCCTCCGTCCGTCGGGGGTGCTCCTGCCCTTGGCAGTGACGTCCTAGAGGAGAGGCAGTACGAGCTTGCTTTCCTTTCCGAGGCCGCTCCCCATCTCTGCTCCATGCTGTTAGTCCCTGAGGGTGACCCAGACGCCTTCGACATCCCGACCCCTCGCACCTACGCTGAGGCCACCTCGGGACCCTGGGCCTCTCAGTGGATAGCTGCCATGGAGCAGGAGATGGCATCTTGGAGGTCCACCGGCACTTACGTCGACGCAGTTCCCCCGCCTGGGGTGAACGTAGTCGATGGCCGGT